GTCGGGGCCTCTTCCTCCCCTGTGGTCTTCCACCCGCTCTGCTCTTTCTTGGCCTCCGTTCTCTTGGTCTCAGCCCGTCCCTCCGCCGGGGCCAACTTCCCTCAACCTCTTCCTCGGACCTCTGCCGGTCATTTCCTCTATTGCCGCCCTACCACACACTTACCATTCCTCCACCTCGCCCCCTTCGCCTCTCTCCCATCCTTTACCATCGTTTTCTTCCTCTCATGTTTCTCCCCCTTCCAGCCCTCGTTTTCATTCCTATTCCTCTTACTTGAGTAGCTTTTCCCCATCTCTCATCCCTATCCCATTCCTTCTTACTGTTTTGTTGTTGTTGTTGTTGTTTTCTTATTCCTTGTCTTTTATCTCCTGTCTGTCTGTCTGTCTGATCTGCCTCCCGCCCTCCCTCCCTCCCTCTCTCTCTCCTGCTATTAATTTCCCTGATTGGCTCTGGCTCTGGCGCCGCTGATGAGCCCTATTCATTCCCGGGCTTCACACTCTCGACCTGCCCTGGCTGATTGCTGGGGGCTGGCCCCGGGAGCACTGATGAGCCCCGAGGGTCAGCAGCGCTAATTATCCGCTAATTGCGGATGACTCTGCTCACCACCCCCATTCTCAGATACAGAAATGGTTGAGCCTTCTCTGGTCCCCCTCCCGATTCCCAGCAGTGGAGTTGTCAATCCGGAGGCAAAAGTCACAGGCACTTTGGCTCCACAGACAGCTCAGGTCAGTGGGTAAGAAAGAGGCTTCATTCGGGGGAGTGGACAGCAGAAAGACCCGGGTGTTAGCACACAGAGCCAGCCTGCCAAAGTGAGCATCAGTGGGTAACTTGCAAACTGTCATTCAGGTGGGACAGGTTGAGCAGCGCTGGTTAAAATGAAGAATAGCAAAACCCGGCAAGTTCAGGAAGAGTCACATTAGGAAGGGCAAGCGATTTGGCTCAGTTAAGGAGGAAAGCTTATATATAAGCCAAAGAGCCCCAGAGCTGCCCAGTGGCACAGAGCAGGGCAGGAAGGGCCCTGAGTCTTTGACATTTGTTCCAGTCAGGAGTGCTGGTCTTGTGAACACAGTCATCTGGCTGATCGACTTAAAATCAGCACCCTGGAAGTCACGTCAACAGGGGAAGAGGACAGGGCTCAAGAAGGGTCCTTTCTTGGGTTATTTGACTGACAATTCATCAGAGAAGTGAATGGAAAAGTGCCATTTCTGTGCAGTCCCGATCTACCCTGGGCTCTATGTTAAACTCAGAGAAACTTCTAAGGGATGAGTTTGGGGAAAGATGTCACTGTGGGGAAAGACGAGGTCCCTTCGTTTAGTTTTGGGACTCCCTATCTCACTACTAAAGTGTGAGGATAAAGTCAGTCTAAATTAAATACAGTTTTCAGAGCAACTCTGAAATCAAGTGCATTTCGCTGAACTGAGATGGAAGACCAGACTTCAGAAGTGTGTTGTACTAAGAAAGTGAGGGGTCAAGTACTTGGTGCGATGGTTTTACAGAGTTGGCTACATAATAGAGGCTTATTGACTTGACAAATTATGGAGGGAATTTCGGGCTACAATTACTGCAATTAAAGCTGTGTGAGCAGCTTCCAAACCAATCATATAACACATAAAGAAGAGCCATTTTTAAAAGTAATTGCATTCATTTTTTGCATAGGTAATAAAATCAGACAGTAGAAAATTCCAAAAGCTTAAAACAATATACATTGAAATTGCCCTCCTGCCAATCTCACCAGTAAAAGGCCACTAAAGCCTGTCACTCTGGTGATACAGAATGGACCCTGCATTGTCAAGGGTAAAGAACCTCTGATCTTGAAGATGTCACTTAGCTCATGACAAGAGCTATTGTTCACAACTATATGAAGAAAAATGGACTCTGCTCAAGCAGGCTCAGGATACAGGTTTATCGCCTGGTGCTAACACAAGCCAGTGGGCCACCAGCTCTGAACTGGTGTTGATCTGGTGTGGTTCACACTTGTGAGACATTGTCTTCTATCCTGTGTGTTCTAACCCATTTGTATTTTCAGTCTGTTCCCTTGCCATGCTGGGGTCATGATGTGTGACTTCTTCCCAGTCCTTGACATGCAGTAGCTAGCATCACCTGCTTAGTGGCAACTGTTGCAGCCACTCCTTTTTACTCCCCTTTCTTCTAGAGTGGAACCGTGGCAAATGTAAAAACCACGGCTGGAAGTAAAAGGACCTGCCCCTCTCAGCTTCTCCACGTGTGCAAGACAGTGACTGTTTTCTACTCTGTGCAGCCGCAAGGCAGGAATCACAAGAACATGCGGATGCACCATCCAAAATGAGCTCTTATTGCAGTGAACAGGCGAAGGGTAGAGTTGTCCGGAATCGAAGGATTCATCGTGCAAATCAGCGGCTCCCCCAGCACGACTGCTTACTCTGCCATCAATACCAAGGACAGATGCGGTGGCTCGCACATTCCTTGCGGGCAGGAAACTTCGGTTTTTCGGCTGGATCCCTGAGCAGTACTCCTGCTGTTGTAGAACCTCATCATCTTCCCTCTCCAGTCACTAGGGTCCCCGCTAAGATGATAAGAACGAGCAAAATGTTCTGAAGTCAAAGCCAGTTAAGTCCACTTCTCCGGCTCACTCATTGGCTGTAAGGAGTCCCTGCACGGTGGGCAGCACCGGGCTCTGTGCGCGGGTCCCCTCTGGTGGCAGCACTATGCGACTGCAGTCACCGCGAGGGAGGCGCAGGGTGCTGCAGCTCCCCCTGGCGTTAGGCACGAGTCGCACGTAGGGCAAAGGAACCGGACTGGGAGCGCGCTGAGCTCTGGGTGCTTCGCTGTAAATGCACCGGTGGGGCGGAGTGGGGTGGGGATTGTACACCAGCGTCTTAAAGTGTGCGTGGGGGTAGGCTCCTGCATGTTTGCTGTGCCCAAGTCCTTGAGCCCTGTGGATCTATCGCCCTACATGTGTGTTGTGTGAGCCCATGCTTGCACACGCGGGTAGGCTGGTGGTGGGGATGTCCGCGCCTCCAGTGCAGGGCGGAGTCCTCACGGAGGCGTGAAATTGGTTTGGAGCAAACACATTATGGAAAGCAATTACCGGGGAGAGGTTCTGAGCCCGCGGGACCGACAGCCAGGAGGCTGGGGAGGAGGCTCCCTGGCTGCCAATGTCTCCTGTCTGACCCCATACGGGACCTTCCTGGCATCTCCTTGCAGAGGGACAGTGCTAGGCACGGCCTCCACACAGTGACCACTGCACTGCCGCCAATCTTTCCCTCCCCACTCAGCCAAGCCCTCCCACACCAAACACCCTCGTGCATGGCACAAGCCCCTCCCCTCTCATCACTGGAGAACAGGCACCATGCTCCGTGAAGCCTTCCCGGATCCCTATCCCACTCCTTTTGCCCCCATCCCCTGCTCTCACAGTTGTTTTAACTTCCATTCATTGCTCATTGTGTTGTGATTAATTCCCACACTGTTTCTGGGATCGATTGAGAATTCATTGAGGGCAAGAATATCTCATGCACACAGCCCTATGTCTAGTACCTAACACCTGGGGCTCAGGAAGCAGAGAATGAGCAAGAGTGGAGGGACTGAGCTAGGTGTGGTGGTGAACCCCTGTAATCCCAGCACTCGGGAGGCTTGAGACAGGAGGATCACAAGTTCAAGGCCTGCCTAGAGTATATAGTGAGTTGAAGTCCAGCCTGGACTACATGGAGAGGCCCTGTCACAAAAAAAAAAAAAAACAGGAAAAGAGTGGATGGAATAAAATGGAATTTCCATCAAAATTCATAAGCAGAACCCTCAGTAAGTTGTTCCCTGAGAGTCAGGACATCTTGGAACAGGACCTCTTGAACATCCTTCACAGCCAGTGAACTCTGCTTATTCACCCCTCTGCATGGCGAGGCCTTTGAACACAGCCTCTGTGATGTCTGCCAAGCAGCTTTGTCTGAGCAGAGCCAGCAGAGCCCTTTTGATTCCTGGTGCTGCCATCCCCACCTCAGGAATTAGCACCATCATCTGTCCAGCTGTTCAAGCCCAAAAGACAGGGAGGCCTGCAGCCCCGCATCTGCTCCATTAGCAAGTCCCACCTGTTCCCCCAAAGATAAGGGATGTCCCTTGCCCAGTTGGCAGGTGCCTAGGGCACAAGCACCCTGCCCCTCAGTGGTCCTTTCCAGTCCCAGGGTGGAAGGGATGCAAGTCCCACCAGCTTCATGCCTTTCCCTCCTGCTCCAGGGATGGGGAGGGGTCAACTCTCCCCTCTGTCTGAGCTCAGACCCCAGGCACACACACCCCTGCTTGGCAGGAAGGGCAAGTCCTCCCTGTTCCCTGTCCTCCCCACCCCCCAGCTTCCCTCATACACCTCCCCTACCCCCAGCCCATCCTAAGCAACCCTAAGGCTGTCTTCCAGTCCCAGCCCAGTTCCATCAGTTCCCTCAAAGGATCTCAAATCTTGCCTGCTACTTACTACCCCATTCCTTGCTTGAAATACTGCAACTGCCTCCCAAAGATTCTTTCTGACTTTCCAAGTCTTCCTCTACCCCAAGCCACTCAGCAGCCAGCCAAAGTGATTTTTTTTTCTTTTTGGTAGTATCAGGGATTAAACCCAGGGACTTTGCAGTTTTTTGTTTTTTGTTTGTTTGTTTGTTTGTTTGTTTTGAGACAGGGTCTCAGTACATTGCTCAGGTGGACTCAAAATGGTGACCCTCCTCAGATTCTGTGAATGCTGGGATCACAGGCAGGTGCCACAATGCCAGCTCATAGTGATCTTCTAAGACCTCTGTCCATTCGGGGAGCTCTCCTCTCTCTACTCACAGGTCTGGTTCCTTGTCATCACACCTCAGGTTAAATGTCACCTCCTTAACGAGTGCCTTTCCCTATCACCGACTAAAATAGTTTCCAGGCTACTCTCACATCACCCTCTGAGTCTCCCTAGGCTTCTCCCGCGTGATACCTGCTCCTGTCTGCTTGGCGGAGGGCAAGGCCAGGTCTCCCCAATCCCATGCCTGTGAGTCCTGGAACTTGGTGTGCAAGGAGCAAACTTGCCCGGCGTCTCAACCTCGGGGCGGTCTGGAGCCTGCACCTGAGCCCAGGAGGACAGCTCGGTCCGGGATGTGTGAGGGCAGGCAGGAGGTCAAAGGCTGCTCACTTCACTTAGCTTGTCCTCAAAGTCCCAGGCTTTCGACTCAATTTAGGTCTGCAAACCGGTCTCTAACTCAGACCACGCCCTCATCAGACCACGCCCTTCCATTGCACCCTGCCCCAGCCAGGTACCACCCTTCCATCAGGCCACGCCCCTTCCCGCCCCCACAGCCGTTGGGGCGCTTCAGGGCATGCGCATTCCGGAGCCCCGGAACTGTCCAGGGACTGTTGACGTCAAGAATCACAGTGCACTTGATTGGCTGCCCTGTGGCTCCCGGACAACTCCTCCCTCCTTCACCATCCTTTCCCCTCTGCACCACCTACCCTTCAGGCCTTTGCCAATACACTCTTACTTGGTGGTAATTCGCTATCGCGTGGGATGAGAAGTGCGACAGTTCGGCCTGGGCCTCCTCCATAGCTGTTCGGTAACAAAGGGAGAAGGTACGGGACCTGGCACATGGGGCGGATGTGGGAACACAGCAAGTGTCCATCCTGACTGCCCTGCCAGGGGGCCAGCCTGAGCAAGGCTTGTTGGAGTTGGCACCAAACAGCCCGGAGTTTTTAATGGGCACACAGGGTTTGCACAGGATAGAGGGGACCCCTGGGGAGCCCCAAGAAGATGATGTCTCTTCCTCTGTCTTCGTCAGAGGTCACGTGGACTCTGTGATGTGTCCACCTCCCTCAGGTGGGGATCAGATCACCCCCTCGGAGATGGACCTGCTGCAGTTGGGCCATCTGCTGCAGGCTGGGGCATCTGCTTCAGGCCCCCACAGGCGGTGCACATCTGGAATAAGAGGCGTGGCTTCCGAGTGTTCACTGACCCTGAGGGACCTGGTTCAGGTCAGGGCCGCCCCAACCCTCTGCAGCCTCCTGGCCATCCCCAGAGCCCAGCACGCTCACCTAGTACAGCACGTCCTCGAACTCGAGCTGCAGGTAGCGGAGCAGGCGGGGTGGCAGGGGCAGGCGGGGCAGGGCCAGCGGCAGGCAGTCCGCCAGGTGCGCTCGCAGTGCACAGCGGCTCAGGTGCTGCAGGGATCTCGGCTGCCTCACCAGGGCAAAAAGAGAGGAGTAGAAGCGCTGGTGTTTCTAGGGGCAGAGGGAGGGCTCAGTGAGGCTCATCCATGGACAGAGAGTGGGGTCCCTGGGTCTTTTCTATGGAGGACCAATAGGCCTGCCCTTTAGTGGGTAGGAATCTCTCAGTACCAGGCTGAAGTCTGACCTGCAGCATTTCAGGAGGTATCAGGCCCACCGCCTCCTCGGGAAGCTTCACCACACTGTAGGTGTTCATCAGGACCTCGATGGTCCTCGGGGATGAGCACCAGCGCTCCAGCACCTGGAGAAGGCAGAGATGTGTCAGCTCTGACACATGGGCCCACGCAGGACTACCAGACAGCTGCTGGGGGGGGGTGTAGATTTTGTTCCTCAGAAAAGATAAATGGAATTCTTAACCCTGGTACCTAGGAATGTGACCTCACTTGGAAACAGGGCCTTTGCAGACATAATGGAGTCAGAGTAAGGTCATTAGGGTCTGATCCTGTCCTTATAAAACGGAGGTACAGACCATACACAGAGAAGGCCATATGACCGCAAAGGCAGACAGGAGAGTGATGCCACAGATTGTGGAGCTGGGAAGAGATGGGATAACATACCAGGAACCCACCCTGGTGACACCTCCCTTCTGTTGCTCTGAGTCACCCGATTTGTGGTACTTAGTGGTGGAGGCTCCAGGAAACCAGTACAACACTAACACTTCTTTTTCTTCTTTGGTGGGGTAGGATGGGGATGAGCTACTCCTCCAGTCCCACAGCTACCACGTCTGCTATGCACAGCGTATGCCGGATGTTTCTCTTAGCACTCTGCACAGGTGAACTCTTGGTTCTTATCCCTACAAGGTATGGACTGTTATTGTGTACATTTTACAGAAAGGTAACTTGCTCAAATTGTCTTTCCGGCAGTCTAAGCTGGCACAGGGCTTTTTGCCCTTACCACACCATCCTGCTCTCCCATCTACCTCTGCAGGGGTGTCAGCTTTTCTGTAGGCTGGAAAGGGGTCCTGGACCTGTGGCTGAGCCCGAGCAGATAAAAGATTACTATATAAAGCAGAATCTACCCAGTGCAGAGTGAGGGCTAGAGACCACTGCAGGAAGGGTGGGGTGGCAAGGAGGGAGCACAGAGGGGCTTGGGCTCTGAGGGCACTGAGGGAGGAGGGAGGAACAAGCAGAGGCCAGATGTCAGGGGCAGCAGTGTAAGGTTCCCCAGGATGGGGGTGGGGTTGGAGCCAGATTCATTCTCACTGAAGCCATCTCCTGTGGGCCTCCTGTGTGCCCACTGTGGGGTCAAGGCTACTTTGTAGACGGTGTGGTCTCCGAGGTGGCAAGACCTGCAGCACCCAGGGAGGGTGGTCAGAAAGGCAGCCATGTCCACTGTGGGTGCCAGAGTGCCCACGTGATGCCCACCTGTGCCTCCTTCTCTTGTTGGACCTCATGCAACAGGCAGTGGCCTTGGGCACTGTGTGGATCTGAAGTCAGCCAAGAGCTGTCATATGCTCCAAACATCCTTGCCTACAGTGTCACTGGCTTGGACCCCTGCCTCCACAGGGCATGCTGGGGGCAGTGGGATCAGGAAGAGGCCCGGCCTTGTTCAGGGCACAGGGGGCCCTGGAACAAGCGCTGTACACACCTAGGCCCCTACTTCTCCATCTGCGCCTGTGTGGTGCTCACAGAGTGGCCCAATCCTGGTCTTCTAGCCCAGGCTGGCCTCTCCCTTCTCCCAAGTCTGATGTTCCTTTTCATAGAGATGCTTGACTGCCCACCACACTCACTGTGTCACTTTAGAGTGAGCCAACACAGACTGAGCACTAGTTGTAGCGGGGCTGTGTCCAAGGGCTTCACACTTCACCCCACTGCTCATAACAGCCCTGTGCAGCCAGCAAACTATCCTATCTCTGTGTGCAGTTGAGGAAACAGGACCAGAGAGAGTAAGCAACTTGCTGGGGTCACACAGGTAACGTGTCTGGCTACTTTCCCACTAGGGAAAGGATAGTGGGCACTTTGCTCAGCTGGTCTCTCTGTCCCTGAAGACACCGAGGGGGTGGGACAGGAGTGGTGTTCCGGGAAATCTGCTGGCAATGCCAAGTCCTCCTCCTGCCCCGCCTGGCAGGGAAATCATTAGCTGTCAGAGCTGCCATCAGATTACAGGGAATTGCTCGTCTCCTAATTATCTGGTGTTAATAGGAGATTAATTAGTGTTAATTGTTGATTTTCTTGTATTTTCCCAAAGGGGAGACCAATCTGCCGAACTCTCAGGCTGTTTAATTATTTGGTCTTGCTTAGGAATCTAGACAGATGCTTCTAGGTTTGTGGGCAAAGGGGAGAGGCAGGGACAGCAGGGGTGGCCCAGGGCCAGGCAGGACTGGGTGGGGCAAGCCCCCAGCAGGTCCAGAGGGGACATGCCACAGTCTGCCATACTCCAGAAGGTCAGTTCCATCTCCTCCAGAACGGATGTCCCCATCCCAGCCGCCAGGCCCAACACTGCAGGGGACCGGGCCCCCCACCAGGGACTCTGCAGCACTGGGCTTCTGTTGAACTCACTTTGGGGAAATGAATGTAAAGTAAGATATGAATTGAAAAATGACAGCGAAAAGCGTTTTTCACAGCCCGGATGGTGGCAGCTAGTCTGGGGATGTGTCTTGCTACACATTCAGAAAGCAGGACCCCAACCCTTCGCAGATGCTCAGGAGCCCTGAGAAAGGGGCTCACAGTCCACCCTGGGGGGCCTTGCAATCACATGTCCAGCTTGTCCTTCATGCACTCAGTCCTACTGCCACTCAGCGCACCTCAGATGCCACGTCCTTCAGCACCTGCCCCTGAGGAAACCAGCAGGCCTCCCTGCCACCCACATCCATCCTGTCTCACCTGTCATTTGGATCCTTTATCGCACGTGACACCCATTCAGTGCACTCATGTGAACACGTGTAGGCATGCGCGTCCCTGCACGCATGCGCACACACACACACTTTGTTATTCTGAGTCCTGGCCTTTACCACTCCTGGGTTTTACTTACCTGTTGAAGAAAAGATGGAAGGAACTAACCTGTGTCCCCGCGGGGTCCACACTGCACAGCAAAGCCAACTGCAGCAGAGGCCTCGGTGTCCCTACACCCTCCCCACTATGGCCTCGCACTGCCTGCAGCCCCATACCTTGGGCAGGGCCCCCGGCCACACTCGGACAGCGCCGTGATTGAGCAGAGCCCGCACCACATGTTCCGGGGTCTGGGCCAGGGCCGCAGCCGGGCCCTGCAGAGCGCAGTGTAGGGCTGTGTGTCCCCCATAGTCCATGGCATTGGCACTAATGCCACAGGACAGCAACAGCTCCACCACTGCTGCGTGGCCTCGGCGACAGGCGAGGTGCAGGGGTCGCTGCCTGTCTTTGTCCACAGCGTCAGCATCGGCTCCAGCAGAGAGCAGCAAGTGGCATAGCTGGAAACAGCGGGCCGAGGTGGCCTCAGCGTCAGCGGGGGACTGGCAGCGAGTGTCACAGGCAGCCAGCAGCGGCGTCCAGCCTTCGGCATTGCGGGCATCGGGACATGCACCCCGTCTTAGCAGCAAGTCTGCCAGCTCCACGTGGCCAAGCCGGGCAGCTGTGTGCAAAGGGGTCTCCTCTTCCTCCTCAGACTGCCCATCCACCTGCGCCCCAAACCTCAGCAGCAGGTCCACACACCTATGAAGGGCAAGGGGATGGTGGAGGAACTCAGGCCCAGGTCCCACCTTGCTGCTGGTCTGAGCATAGTAAACTGTCCCTGGCCATCCCAGCAACATTCTGCAGGATGAACAGTGGCCTTTTTTACTTACTGTGTTTGTTTTTTGGTTTTTTTGTGACAGGGCCTCGCTATATAGGCCAGGTTAGTCTCAAACTCACAGCAATCCTCCTGCCTCAGCCTCCCAAGTACTGGGATTACAGGTGAGTTCCACCACATCTGGTTTAATGGCCTTTTTAAAGCCCAAATACTTTCTGAAGGAGTCAAGCACTGCCTCTTCTATGAGAACCAGGGTCAGGAGCAGTTGGCACATGGTTAGTGCTTCATCCTTCTCTGGGCCTTGCCACAGTCCTGTGGGGGACTCTCATGATTCACTTCACAGAGGACACTGAGGCTGGTAGGGCCATTAGGCCATTGGCAGGTTCACCGAGCTAATGAGTGGTGCACCTGGTTTTTGGGTCAGGGGCCACAGGGCATCTGCGTGCCAGGATGGGAGGAGGGAGCTCAGGTTGGGGATGGAAGTAGACAAAGGAGATGGGGCTGGGGACTTCTGAGACTAAGACCCAAGCCAGCAGGCATTCTCCAAGGTGGCACTCAGGGAAGGTGTGCAGGCTGGTGACAAGCAGCTGGGGTTACAGCCTGTGTGCACCAAAGCATAAGTGGCCTCTTTGGGCTCTGGTCCCCGTATGTGTAGAATGGGGACAGTTAGCAACAACAGGACCACATGAGGGGTTTTGGGGACTGAATCCAGGACATTTGCATGGAGCTATGGCCTCAGCCTTTTTTTTTTTCCTTAAATTGAGAACAGGGTCTTTCTAAGTTGCCCAGGATAAGCTTGAATTTGTGATCCTCCTGCCTCAGCTTCCCAGAGTGATGAGATTATAAGTGTGTGCCACTGCACCCAGCTCATGATAATTTTAAATACATTTGTGTACTTAATAAAGGAAGGATTGATTATTACTGGGCTGAAATATGGCCAGAACTAAGAAGATGGAGTTCTATGGGGTGGTGTTGTCTGATAGGCATGGGGCAAGTGGGTGCTAACCCATGGCAGTGTGGCCAGGGCAAGTGAAAATGTGCCCTGAGTGTTCAGCACTCCAATGTGGAAGACTTGATATATAAAAAGAAGGTAAAAAGCTCAATAATTTTCACATTAATTACATGTTGAAATTATTAACATTTTGAAAATTTTGTGTTACCTAAAATATATTAAAATGAATGTCACCTGTTTCTTAGATCTTTGTACACCTAATGTCATAGCAGCATTATCCACAATAGCCAAAATGTGGATGCAACCCAAGTGCCTATCAACAGATGAATGGATAAACAATGTGTGGAATGTACAGACAATGGAATAGAATGCAGCCCTGAAAAGGAAAGGAATTCCAACACCTGCCATCATGCGGATGAACCCAGAGGACATTGTAGTAAGCTGAAGAAACCAGGCATGAAAGGATGAATAGTGCACACTTCCACTTAGATGAGGTCCCTAGAAAGGTCAAATTTATAGAGACAAAGTAGAGCTGGTATGGTAGTGAAAATCTGTAATCCCAGCATTCAGGAGGCTGAGGCAGGAGGATCACTGTATATTCAAAGCTAGCCTAAATCTCAAAAACAAAACAAAACGTGGGCCGGGGATGTAGCTCAGTGGCACTGCTGCCTGCCACACACACACACACACAAGGTCCCGAGTTCCATCTCCGGTACCAAACATAAAAAATAAAATAAAATAAAAAAGTAGAATAGTGGTTGACAGAGGGCATGAGAAGTTACTATTTAATAGGTACAGAGCTGAATTGTACAATTTAAAATGGTTAAAATGATAAATTTTGTTATGTATATTTTACCACAATTTTAAAAATCAACCTTACCCTATTTACCTTTTTTTTTTTGTACCGGGGATCAAACTTGGGACCTTGCACTTGTGAGGCAGGCGGCAGCACCTTTGAACTAAATCCCCAGCTCTACTTTACCTATTTCTTCCTGTTCTTTTTTTTTCCAGTACTGGGGACAGAAACTAGAATATTGTGAGTTATATCTCAGCCCTTTTTAAAAATTATAATAATTATTTAAAATTTGACACAGGGTCTCTCTAAATTGTCAAAGTTGGGCTCAAATTTGCAATCCTCCTGCCTCAGCTTCCTAAGTAGCTGGGAGTAAAGAGGTGTCCAGCTGTCTTTTTTTTTTCTTCCTTCTTTCCTTCCTTCCTTCCTTTCTTTTGAGACAGGGTCTCACTATGTAGTTGAGGCTGACCTGGAACTCACTATGTAGCCCAGGTTGGTCTTGAACTCACAGCGATCCTCCTGCCTCAGCCTCCCGAGTGCTCCGGTTACAGGCATGTGCCGCCATGCCCGGCTGTGTTTCATTTTTTGATTGGACTACTGGAAAGTTTTTAACTGTGTCCATGGCCCACATTAGATTTTTATCAGTATGGAACACACCTTCAACTATAACCTCACTAAGCCCCTGGTGTCCTCTGGAGATGGCTGAGGTTAACAAGAGAGACAGTGTCCATGGGGGAGCCCCAAGGATGGACAACGTGGTGCTTTTCAAGGGCAAGATGTGAAACAGGGTAGGTGTGGTGTCAGGGGACAGAGGGCCTTTGCCGCATATTGAGTTTGTTCATAGATTTGCAGGGGCTGCCTTTGCCTGGATTCTGGGTTCACTAAAGTATGTGAAGAGGGGCTCATTCTCCAAGTTCCTGAAACCTACACTGTGACTGTTCAGGTCACTGCAGAGGACTGTGCCTCACAGTAAATAACACCTGGCCATGTGCAGGTGTAGCCATCAGTTTCTTGTGGGAGTGCAGACCTGCTTGTCTACAGAGGCCAACAGCAGGGCTTCAGTGGCACCTCTGTGCTTTCCAGGGTCTGGGTCATTGGACAGCAAGCTCCCCAAGGGCAGGATCACGTCTTAGGTGCAACTTAGGTGCACTTAGTTCGGCCTCTGGGACATTGGAGAAGCTCAGGAAGGATGAACTAGCCACAATAGATCAGATGATCTCCCTAGGGCAGGCCACAAGCTGGACCCTGCCACATCCCTCTGGTACCCCCGGGGGGCCAGAAAACTGTCCCAAGTCCAGCACTCAAGTGTGAGGCACTGTCGGATGGGAGTAGTTTCTACCCAGCTTCTCTACCCCAGCCCCTCGCCCCCAGCCTGCTGGTTCCCAACCTGTCCCCCTCCCTCACTGAGCAGTCTGGGTTTGGGGGTGAGGGGTCACTCACTGGAGGGTGTCAGGCCCTCTGCAGAGATGCAGGGGGCGTTTCCCATCCTGGTCAGGGAGGTTGGGGTCAGCGCCTGCCACCAGCAGCACGTGGACACAGGCGGTGTGACCCGCAGCGCAGGCCTCATGCAGGGCGGTGCGGCCTCCCGGGGCGCTGTCAGGCCGTGCCCGCCGCCGCAGCAGTAGCTGCAGAACCTCCGTGTGGCCACGGCTAGCGGCCACATGCAGCGGGGTGGTCAGCTCCTCCTGGTAAGTCAGGGACCAGAGTCCTAGGAGGGGGAGACGCGGGTCTTAAGATCCTGAGGGAGGTGCGGGCAGACGGAGCCCAGAGCTCGGCTGCAGCCTCCCCTCCCCCTCTCGGGACCCGGGGACCCTAGCCCGCACTCAGAGCACGGATGTTGTAGCGGAAATCCCTCCATCCCTCTGGGTCGCTGGTATCAAAGACGCAGTCAGGAGCCAGGCTGGTATGGGAGTCTGAGAGGATGCGGGAGACAGAGCCCGTGTCCCCTGCCAGCACTGCCTGCCAGAAGGCAAGGGTGGGTCCTGAGGCCGTGCGGATGGCGATGGGTCCCGGGCTGGAGTCCGGGTGTTCCTTGGAACCTCCGCCGGGCCTTTCCACCAGCCTGGCACAGAGGGCTTGTCTGTCAACCAGGGGCTGCCCCTGCTCCCGGCATTGATCCGGGGTCCAGCTCATGAGCAGGCAGGCAGGAAGAGCAGCTGGTAGGAGGAGAGGCCCAGGCCACAGGCAGAGAGGGTGAGAGGAGAGAACCGCAGAGAGATGGAGGCCCGGCTGCTGCGTCCCCAGCTGGAGCCTGGCCTGGCCACGAGGTCCGGCAGGAGCTATTCTGAGCTCCACATGACTTTCCTTCTGGGCCAAGGTTTTTGGGGTGGGGAGCAGCAGCCCGGGGCTTCTCCTCTTCCCCGAGCCTTGGGCTTCTGTGCCACGGTGGTCAGCCCAGCCCCGGTGCATGTCCCCACTGGCAGGTGGCCCTCACCCCTCTGGTGACTGATCCAGCGAGGCTCCACGGCCCGGCTCTCCAGCAGCAGGTCAGCTGTGCTGTGAGGTGGGAAGAGGTCCTGCAGCCTGGCCAGGTCCCCAGTGTAGAGCGCGTTTTGCAGGGCCATGTCCTGGCACGGCAGCGGTGAAGGCCAAGGAGAGGTCTCCCAGGCTGGGTGGGAAGGGGCTGAGGGGAGGTGCCCCCGATGGTGTCCCCCCCTGGGCATGGCTGGTTCCTGGGTGAGGAAGCCAGAGAAGCAGGACTCAGGGTGTCCCTGGGGGTGGACTGGGTGGGGTGCTGGGCCCTGGCCAGGCAGGGCCCACGTGAAAGGAGCAGGGCAGTACATGCAGCCAGCCATAAATAGCCCCATAAATAGTCCTGGCCGGCCCTGCTCCATTGCAGGGCTGGGAGGAGCAGAACACTGGGAAGACAGCCCAAGGAAGGAAACCATTTGCTCCTCTCCCGCCTCTCCAGGTGCCTACCCCATGCTCATCTGCCTCTTCCAAGAGAGCACTAGGGAGGCTGGGGATTTAGCTTAGTGGTGCCACTGTCTGCCTCGCAAGTGCAGGGTAGAGTTCACTGACTGCTCACCCCTGAGCCTTTCTGTCCCCAGCAAACCTGCACCCTAGGCAGGAGCTGTGCCCACTAGCTGTGGGTCAGGGTGCAGAGCAAATGGGGTAGGAGGTGAAGATGAAGATGGCTGTGAGAGAGCATAGGTTCCACCCAAGCTCCTGCCTGGCCCAAGGCTCCTCTGTCTCCACAGCCGCCCAAGCGCCTCCCTCCCTCCCTGACTCCACAAACATATCTGCTAGAACAATGGAACCATGGGGCAGGATGGGAGTTAGAGATCAGCTGAACCAAACGCTCCCGAACTTGCCAAGTGAGGAAACTGAGGCCCAGTTTGCACAGGGAGCCCTTGCCATCAGGGTTAGGAGCAGGGTCAGTTGGCTCTGAGGAGCTTCTCTCTTTTCTCACTGCACCCCTTCCATTTGCTCCTCCCCTCTTTCTCTCTCTCCTTCCCTTCCTGTCTTTTCTCCCTCAAGTACCTCAATGTGCAAGAGAACTGGGGGTCAGCACAGGAAGATGACAGGGACAGGAGGATGTGGGGTGGTGGTCTGAAGGCCAAGGGTGGGCTCTGGATTCAGAGGGAGAGGGCGGAGGCTGGTAAGGCAGGGCAGGGCAGGGCAGAGAGAAGGCACAGAGATGGATGGACGAGACAGCGTCCCTGCCACCTTGGCATTTATGCTTTGCCCTGTCCATGGGCCTGGGCACTGCCCAACATTGCCGCCTGCCATGGACACCATCAGGCCTCAGTCTTCACTTCCTTTTCTTCTCCTTGGCCTCCTCGGCCTCCAACTGGTCCTTGCTAAGTTTCATGCTCTTCTTGCCCAGTGGGGTCTTGAAGTACCAGTCCTGGGTTGGCAGGGGTGGTGGGTGAATCCACCAGGCTGGCCTTCAGCTCTCTGGCTGCCCTCACTTTCCTCTCTTTATGGGTCCTGTGTCCTCCTGTCCTCAGAGTTTAGGGGTCCTGTCCCAGCCAGGGCTCATCTTGCTCTCCACCAAATACTACAGGCCAGCCAGGTGTGGTGGGTAAAGCCTGTAATCCCAGGAGGCTCAGGAGGCTGACACAGGAAGATCGCTGTGAGTTCAAGGCCAGCCTGGGCTCCATAGCAAGTTTAAGACCAATCTGAACTACAAAGCAAGACTCTGTCTCAAAAAAGAACAACTCCAGGACACAGTGTCCGCCATCCTAGGGGGGCATGCCCCTTTCCCCACCCTAAGGCCTCTTTCCTGTGCCCCTAAACCCAGTGGCCTCACCTTCAGGGACTCTTCCTCTTTGAGGTACACTGGATCCAGCTTTGCCAGCTGCCCCAGGAACTCAGAGGCCACCAGGGGCCGCTTGGACAGCTGCAGGATCCGCCGCTCATTGAGCACCACCTGGGTGGCTTGAAGGATGTGACCGGATGTGAAGCCATCAGACACACTGGCCAGGGCGCTGAGGTTGAGGCTCGGGGTCACCTGTGCCCGGGCCTCTATCATACGCTTCCAGAGCACTGCGGGTAGCAGGAGGGTAGGGGCGTGAGGGGAGGGACAGCAGGGCGGAGCTTGGTGTCTCTGGAGAGAAGGTCCTCTCCTGGGGGCCGAGAACCCTGGCCTGTCCCCAGGCAGCAGCAGCAGGGAAAGAGGGGTGCAGGGCTCCTTCTCAGGCCCAGTTCCGTGTGCCTGGCCTCACCATAGCGGGAAGCGTAGTCAGGCCGGGGCACGAAGAGGATGCGCTCATACAGCCGGCAGAGCCCCTTCATCTCTGCCAGCTGCGGCTGCTCCGTGGTTCCTATGAGCATCACACGGTCCCCGGGACTCAGCAGCCGCATGGCCTTGCCCAGGTCCTTCTTGATGCGCTTTGGGTCCATCTATCCAGGAAGGTCCGTCTATGGGTTGGGACAGGGCAACTGGCCCATGCCCAGCCCCAGGGCAACCTGAGTGTCTGGGTGAGGCTTCCAGAGGAGTGGACTGGCCTGAGTTAGCAGCCCTGTTTCCCACTGCCTCTTCTCCTCACCTGCCTCTCTTCTTTTGGGATCTTCTTATAGAAATTTTTCTCAGCGTCTCCAATCCAGATCACAGAGGGCTGGAGCAGCCGGGCCACCTGGACGGACCAGGGTAGCAATCAGACAAGATGCCCCTGGGCAAGGGCCTTGTCCCCTACCTGGTTGGTCCCCAGGATTTGTGCTGACCTTGAGGCCCCAGCTGCACTTCTCACATCCGCCCAGCCCTTTGCACCTTCATGTCACCCAGTTTGAAGTAGTCATTGTCCTCCACAGAGGTTAAGGGGAGCATATCACACCTCACTTTGTGTGTGTGTGTGAGTGTGTGTTTTGAGACAGGCTGGCCTTGAACTCACTATATAGCCAAGAAGTGGCCTTAAACTTGTGGCAATCCTCCTGCCTCAGCCTCCCAAGTGCTGAGATTACACGTGTGCACCACCAAGCCTGGCTATGCCCCATCTTACCTTGAAAACAAAACTGCTCTGCCTCCCCACCTTTCCAAGCGTGGGGGCTTCAGGAGGGCCCAAGCTCCTAGCAGGGATTGGTGGGAGACATGAAATCTCAGCCACAGGCAGAGAGGTGACCCTGGAGCATTAGCTCACCCCACTCTGCTGTCCCAGCCTAGACCCAGAAACGCGAAGCCCAGGGGCCCCAGACCTTGAAGACCATGTGCACAATCATCTGTGCCCCGGTCTTGCCGGGGTATTTGTCCTGCAGGTTTCCAGGTGACAAGTCGAACAGGTTGGCCCCCGTTTCTGTGCACACAGCATGGACCAGCATCTTCTTCCCTGTGCCAGAGGGGCCCACCAGGAGGATAGATCGGATGAGGGGAGCCAGGGAGTGAATGTCTGCAGAGCCTGGAGGAAGGAGGCAGCCCAAGGGGGAAATGAGAGTCTCATTATGGAGCCCAGACTGATCTCAAACTTGAGGGAATCCTTCTGCATCGGACTCTTGAGTGCTGGGATCACAGGTATATGGCACCTGGCCTGGCTCATTCAATTTCTAGGGTGATGGCCAGAGCCCAAGAAAGGCAGGAATCTGACAGAGACTTATTGTTCCTGGGAAAGGGAAGTCTCGCCTAGCTGTACCCGCCTTGGCCACCCTTGTCTGAATCCAAGCCCCAAAGAGCATGGGTCCTTCTTTCCCCAGGCCTCACCCAGCCGAAGAACTCCATACAAGGCCATGTTCTGTCGCACATCAGACAGGGAGGGCATGGGCTGCTTGTCAGCCAACATCAGAGCAGACCCCAGGTAGAGGCAGTCTCCTGAGGGGCCAGGGCAGGCAGCCTGGTGAGTGATGCTGGGCTGTGGGGCCCAGGAGGTCTGGCTGGGGATGGGGGACCTTGCCTAGAGCAGGCACAGGGAGGGGCTCACCAATGTAGTCTTTCAACGCCACCCTGTTACTCTGCTTTAGAAGGCCAGAAACGACAAGCTCTTCATATAGTGAGTCCAGGGACCTGGCAGGAGATGACACGGGACAACCCAAGGACGTTAGCGAAAGACGGATGGGCTGCTGGCAGAGGAGAGGGGACAGTAGTCTGCTGCCCAGCCTTTTTTTTTTTTTTAGGATAATCTCCTCAATTATTTTTTCTTCTTCTTCTGGTACTGGGGATTGAACTCAGGACCTTACACTTACCAGGCAGGCGTACTGCCACTGAGCTACATCCCCAGCCCCTCTCCTTGACTTTTAAAAAATTTCTCGGTATACATCTGTATATATCATCATTCCTTGCAGGGAGGCGGTAGATGGGTGTCGCACACCTGAACTCTTTTTACACTCCCCTTCTGTCTCCTTCCCTCCATCTCTTGGTCCCCTCCCAATCTGCAAAAGATCTAATTTGCTCTTTTTTTTTTGGTACCAGGGATCGAACTTGGGACCTTGTGCTTCGAGGCAGGTGGTGGAACCACTGAGCTAAATCCCCAGCCCTAATTTGCTCTTTATTTATAATGTGGACTTCTCATACAAGAGAAACCATGTGATATTTAGGCTCATGTGTGTCTGATTTATTTCACTTAACGTTATGGTCTCAAGGTGCTTCCATTTTCCTACAAATGACTCAAGTTTATCCTTCTTTATGGTAGAGTAGTCCAGCACTGTGCATATAAATATCATGTTTTCTCTATCCACTCCTAGATTTAGCTATGACGAGTTGTGCTGTTAGAAACATGGGTCCGCAGGGATCACTGCACTATGACATCTTTAACTCTTTCAGGAAGATTCTAGGGTCTCTTCCAGCAGCCAGAAACATCCAGCAAAATCAGAAGACACAGCCCTGACCACTGCCTCGGCGGTAGGTGTCCCACAGAGGGTGCCCCATGGAATGACGGGACGTAAGAAGGGCCAGCAGCCCTTGCGACACTCCCTGTCAGCCTCCCATGCCCCATACACTACCACTGGGGTGCCCTGACCCTCTTCCTGAAACCATCTTTAGGGTGTGAATTCTTGGAGAGATGGCAGCTAAGGCATTAAAATCAGTGGGCAGGTGACACCAGAAAAGGGGGTAGAAAGGGGTATGGATGCGTCCCTCGGTGCTGGGGTGGGGAGGAAGCATGGGGAGTTGGCTCTGGGTGGACAGAGCGAATGAAGGTGGGGGATGGGGGGGTCTGGAAGAGGGGAGCAATGGTTATCAGGAGTCCTGTTTAGATCTTAGTCTGCACTCTCATTTTCAAAGGCAGGAAGTCAGTGAACAAGGTCAAGGGTCCAGATCAGTGACACAACTTTCCCATGACAGCCCAGCAGCAGGACCAGGACCCGTGGTCAGGTTGCCTCCCTGGACTGGGTGAGAGCACCCTCACAGCATGGCAGGCACAGGCCTACCTGTTTGGGGTCAGATCTTTTTCCTTCTTCTTCCCAGTTTTCTTGCCAGGCTTTTTCTGGTTGGGACAAGCACACAGGTGACTATCCTTGGTCTCCACTGCCCCGCCCTTGGTGCCCTCCCCTGCCAGCTGCAGCCCCTCATCTGCCTTTGGAGCCTTCAAGAGTCTCCCATCCTCCCTGTCCACGGCCAGACGAAGGTTCCTCAGCTCCTGCCGCATGAGCTCGTCCACCTGGGGACAGATAGAAGACAAGGGGGAGCCTCAGGAAGATGGGGTGCCAGGGCTGCCGGTGGAGCAAGAAGTATGCACAGGGTCAGCGAGACCTACAGAGGATGAGTTGGACACCTTAGTGCGGGCTGAAGGTCAGGAGGAGGTGGGTGGGGAGGAGCCTGCAGTGCTGCCAGTGCCCACGCCCGAGGGTCCCCACACAGCCTCACACCTGTGCGCGGATCTCTACTTCCGCTTCCTTCCGCTTCTCCTCCCGGAGGGTCTCGGGGTCAAAGCTCTGGCTGGGGTGTTTGGCCTCATTCCGGTTCTTCCACACATCTGATCACAGAAAGCAAAGGAGTACGTGAAGCCAGAGTTCCACACACACGTGCACACGCCCACAGACACACATGCTCACACTGGCCCCAGCTGTTCCCCGTTTCCATCTGGCCCTTTTGGGCTTCACCCCAAACCCTGTGGCCACAGGGTTCAGACCCAAACGCAAACACCCAGACCCAAGGAATCACTACCGTTCCTTCCACAGCCACATCCCCCACAGTCCCCTCACATCCCCATATCAGGTGCCCACTTGTTCCATGGCCAGGGCCCCCAAGACCAACACATTCCAGTGTCCTCCTTCTTACTTGTGTATTCCTGGTGTCCTGCACTGATCACAGGTATAAATTTGGAGGGAAACACTTGAAGCATTGTTTCCACTTCCTAGGACAGAAATATCTTTTTGCCACGTGTGCTGGGGCACACCTGTTATCCCAGCACTCGGGAGGCTGAGGCAGGAGGATTGCCATGAGTTCAAGGCCAGCCTGGGCTACATCGTGAGTTCAAGGTCAGCCTGAATTACACAGTGAGACCCTGTTTCTAAAAACAATAACAGGCTGGGGATTTAGCTCAGTGGTGCCACCACCTGCCTTGAAAGCACAAGGACCGGAGTTCAATCCCCAGTACAAAAAACAAAGAACAGTGATGTATGCTCACCCATGTTTATAGAGGCACAGTTTGTAATAGCTAAAACTTGGAAACAGCCCAAGTGCCCATCAGTTGGAGACTGGATAAAGAAGATGTGCTTTTTCTATAAAATGGGATAATGCTCAGCCATAAAGAGAAATTAGAGTCATTCATAAGAAAATGGATGCATATTGAGGTCATACTCTTAAGTGAAATAAATAAGTCACACATGTGTAAATAGTTTCTGTGGGGTGAAAAACTTAAAGTATAAATAAGATCCAAATGGTATAATTGAATGTGAAATAGGAAGAAAAGGGCTAAAGGTGGAAGTGGGAAGGATAGGGGAAAGGAAATAAGGAAAAAGAAAAAATATGAGAAAAAAAATGGAAAACAATTTTTGTTAATTTGGGAAGGGAGGAGGGGGTGAAGGGAGGGTAGGGGTATGGGGAAAAAATGAGAACCAAGACCTGTCTTGTAAAGGTACAAGATCCCAATGATGAATGTAACTGTACCGTATACCTAAAATGTACCAATAAACTCAATGAGAAAACAACAACAACGACAAAAGAAACGGGCTTTTGACCTTGACTTCTTCATCCCCACTTATCACCGACTCTGCTTGACTGCCACCCTGGCCAGTCCGGTTCTTCCCTCCCACCTGTGCCAGGGACTGTCTTACCCCCTTCTTAGCCTTGTCTTCCTTCCCTTTCTTTTTCTCTTTCTTCTCCTGGTCTCTGTCCTTACTTGTCTCTTTCACCTTCTTTTTGCTCTCCTGGGGCTGCATCTGCAGTTCCATTTTCACCTGCAGCCAATGACAAGTGTTTGGAGACTGGGGAATCTTATAGAGGTGAGAGAACCCATGGCCTTGGGTGGCACAGACTGGGATTCCCAAGGCCCAGGGCCCATGGCCAAGGACACTTCCAGGGTCCAGATGGCTGAGCGTGCAGATTGCATTGAGCTCCTTGAGAAAGAGCTGTTCTGACCAAGGCTGCAGCTCACTCCTGCACCTTGGGGACCTGGAGCCACAATGGTCTCAGACCACTTCCTCTCTGGGGTCAAGGCTGTCTTCTCTAGGCCCACACCGTCTTTCTAGCAACCCTTCTGCCCTCTGGTCATGGTCACATCTGCCTCCACTGAAGATGGCCCTCCGCATCCTACCACCACTCCCAGTTTACACTCACTACCCTCCGTAACCTCAGTTCTGTGTTGCCACAGAACACTTCCTGTTCTTACTTCCAGGGTACCTGTTCTGGAGTCCTGTCAGTGAAGATTAGGCAGGATCCACCTAATGACTCATCTGGATAATCAGGGAACTGGCCGGTAATGGCACTGTGTGGACATAAAATGGCTGGAGATGGGTGATTGGAGAGATGGACGGGTCTTAGACAGGGGCGTGGGTGGGAGGGTGGCGGGCAGGTGGATGGGTGAACAAACAGATGGAAGGAGGGCAGGAAAGACAGAAGGTGGTGTGGATGTTTAGATGTTTAAGTGGTAGGGTGGATGGATGGTGGAGGGGTGATAGATGGGTAAATGGTTGGATGGATGGTTAGATCCGTGGATGAGGGATGAGACAGATGGATAAGTAGGTGGATGGATGGGAAGACAATGGATGGACAGAGAGATGGAAAAGATAAAGGAACAGAGAGATAGAGGAAAGAGGGAAGGAATGGGCAGTGACGGAAAGAAATACAAAAGAGACTGCTCTAGAGCCATTTGTGGCCGCTTTCCCCACCGAATCTTGGCATTTCCTCTTCTCTCTGGGAGGTGGGAAGTTGAGTACAGAGCTGATCCTGTGTAGCGGAGGTTCGTGGTTTAAACCAAGACTGTTAGCAGGGTGTTGGGCGTCAGTCTGTACTAGAGAATGGGGCAGGAACAGCTCAGGGGACACTGGGTGAGGAGGGAGTGGGAGTGGGACCCTGAGGTTCTAGACACTGACCGGCACTCAATAAACCACTGTCGAATTTGCTCCCTCATGTTCTCCTTCATGTCAGGGCCCTCAGTCTCTGTGACAGCCTCTCGGGCCTTCACCCCAGCTGCATGGAACTCCTCTTCCATTTCCTTCTGGCAGAGCCTCCGGGTTTCCTCCCCGAGGGTGGCCTTCCACAGGCTGCCAGAGTGCTCTGCCTGGCTGGGAGTGGGGAGCTGGGGGACACGGGACAGAGGCTAGGGGGCTGGGGGTGCAGGTGGTGGGGGTGTACCTGCCCCTGCTCCCTGCCAGGACACCCACCCAGAACCACAAGCATGCCTGCATCAGGAGAAACTGTGCTCCGTGCCAAAGCTCGTCTGTGTAAATTACTCCAATAATGAGTTTGTTGGAAGCATCCTGGCTGGCCCCCCGCCTGCCCCCAGCGCCCCCTCCCTGAAGCCT